AAATCGGTAACTCAAAGTACATAATACTACCGATCGCGTGAAATCGGCAAGGCCTTCTAAAAAAATTATAAAGCGTAATTTAATTTAAATAAATGTGGAAAACACCGGAAATATAATAAAATAATAAGTACATTTTAATGTGTAAAAAAGTAAATAAAAAAAAATTGTATTTTATTTAAATATTTTGGCGTGTATGGCCTGGGTTACATATCATATTATTTTTTTTTACATGTGCACTTTATAGATGTGCAATTCGTACGACAAATACGTCAATATATAACCAATCAATAGCCTTGTCCGGTCTCAACTGACCCCAATCTAACAAGTTCCCGTAATGAATATTCATTTAGTTGAACGTCTGCAGTCGTCAGGGAACAGTACTTTGTAGCTGCCAAACTGTTCCGCTCCAGCCATGTGCTTAAAATCTCTTCTTTACTCCCTATATGAAATTTGCCATATTTTTCTTCTATGATAACTTCTAGAAGGCTGGCTGCATCACCTCGCCCTCGATCCACTGACAGGATTGACACCATGTTGGTTTGACTGGAAACACAATGTGCTATTGTCACCAACTTTTAAAGGAGGGAGGACATTTTCAATTACTTCCATAAGCCACTAATTGTAATTAATATCATAATAATGTGTTACTGAATTCGTGCAATCGGCAGAAAAAGACCGCCTAATTCACGAAATCAGCAATCAAAATTTGCCGATTTCGTTAATTTGGTAGCCAAATTACCGAATACAAGTATTCGGTGACAACGTTGCTGCTCTCATGAAATCGGCAATTTCATAAATTCGACGTAACATACACACCAGAGATTATTATTATTATTGCGCACTATATATATATACTATACAATTAATTTTAGTTCAAATCTCCCCTTTTACATAATAGAAAATCTGATTTTACACAACATTGAAATATCCATCATCCGGGCAGAATACAAACAAATTAATTTTTTTCAAAACTTTAAACAAATGGTAAATCACCGGTTAAAATTCTTCAGTTTTAGGTTTATGCAACGAATGGGTAGACTCATTTTCATCAACAGTAACAGTTATACTTGCACCTGCAGTACGAGTATCGAACTTTGATGCTATGGATGAATTGGAGACATGGTCGTTTACCGATAGTATGTAGGCTTCGAAGTTCTGGACGTGATGACAATTCGTAAACCGTTCCAAAAACGATTGAACTAGACAATTTATTAACTCTATATAGTCTACTCGTTTATTGACGGTTCCGTGAAGCTGTTTTTATTCATATTATTTATTTATATTCAATCCCATTTTCTACGAATGCATACCCCTAGAGTAGTATTTTTAATAATTCGTGTTTTTTTTGACGTGAAGATTTTTATATGTTTCAACAGTCCCTCTAAAGTCAGAATCAGAATTTACAGGGTTTTCAGTATATGTCCAAACATTTAAATCTAATTTAATTTAAGTTATTCTTCTCCATTCAATCATATATCTCTCTCAAAATTCATTGGAACTATGTAATAGTCAGGCTAGGTTATATATAAATTCGATGCGCGTTTTTGAAGTTTCATAAGTAAAAGTGCTTAAAAGTTTCTCCGTATTAAACAAATAATTAATTTTAAATTATTAAACAAAATAATTTTCTCATACCAAAGTTGACGGAACGTATCAGTTTAAATGGAAAATTATTTAACAAAATTCAATATGTGCGCGATATACAAATAATTATTTTGTTATTTTTCAGAGTAAATAATATTATATTTTGTATATTCCATCACTTTTGGGTGCACCGTCTTCAAACACACAGGTTTTCAACGTGTAAGTTTTGTAGTAGTTTTATACTGTATAATAAAAATGAACACATGCAATTATAACAATCGACCGTCATAAATCGCTGTAAGACAATACCACTTTGTTATTTCTGAAACGTATTGCTGGTTTACGCGTTACTTTCATTTATTACGGGTACCAAAGCTATTAAGTGTATACACGTAACGGAAAAAAAATCACTCTTTTAACAGTACCTATACCAATCTTAATGGTAGAAAGTCCGCACTATAGATCATAAAATGTTTTAAAAGTATGTTACAGATGTCTGTTGATTAGAACGAAATATATAATTGCACGTGTCCAACGTTCATAGGAAAAAATAAAATAATTATTATAATAATATATTTCACCTACTATATTTTTGTGATATTAATAGGCACACGCATTGAATAATTTCGATTTAACAATAATCCCTGTTGTTGTTTTAAAAATTTAGATTTTAAGTGAAACGATAATTTTTTTTTGTTTTACTATGTATGTTTTCTTTTTTGTCTGTTTACACAATTCCCATCAGAAGGATTGCTTCGATAATAAACACTATCAGAGAACTCCGATATTAAATGGTATAATTTTGGTACTCTGAAAAGGTTATTATTTGAATTAAATGTTACCAACAACTTTAACCGAGGTCGAGCTTTGAATTTGTTACCGCTCAATATTTTTCCATGCACTCTAAAGAATATTTATATTAGTACTTTATAAACATTTCATTCTTTTCAAAATATTGTTTAGAAATTTCTGCTGATTATAGATACTTAAAATGTGTGATTAAAAGTTAAGTCTAATCTATTAAGAAATTTGGTTCTCATAAGTACTATATCAATCACTTTTAAAAATATAAACTGATCTACTTGTTTTTTTTCAGACCGCATCTTTTTTGCAATAAAAATGGTACATAAGTTTTAAATTAAAAAAAATACTAAGGCAATATCATTCACCCATTCCTGTATCTTGGTCAACCATGCCAGTAGTATGCCAGATTTTAACGATGGATTCATCAATCATTGATTGATTCATTTAAATTTCATAATTTTAACATCACTCTTTTACGAACTTTCACTTTAAATGTAATATTAATAAATATACGGTCCTTTGAAATCCACCTCGACCGATTTCTACTTCATGGACACTAGTTTGTAACTATGTACTACGTAATTTAGCCATATTTTAATATGATCAAATGTCTAACTTATATAATGAAATGTATTCATAATTTTAACTAAAAATCAAAAATAAAATGACATAATACATATTTATAATATATAACGAATGAGTACATTTATTTGTGTTATTTAAACCCAAATATTTGTTCAATTTATGTTAATTCTAACGTGTATAATTTAGGTATATAAATACAATTTTTGTAAAAAAAAAAAACTGGTTTTTATTGTGTTTGTAGTGTGATTTATTTGTAGTTGATTTTAGTTGGTCATGGTTAAATTAAACATATTATTACATAGTATTTAATATATTATAATACAATACGTTTACTTTATGATTGAAATAATATATTATGTTCGAAGAAATAGCACTCAACCCTATTACTAGGTGTAGTACTAGACCTAAAAATAAGGATGAATGGATAAAATAGCATAAAAGTTATAATAATGTTATAATATTAATTAATATTACTGTTAAAATTAACAATGATAATATTTTATAACACATGTTTCATATCATTTCTGTACTATTACTTGTATAATATCTATAATGTTAACAAATTATGAAATAAAAAAATTATTTAAATTTTAAGTTTTTCAGGATTTGGTTGAGTATATCTTGCTACACTTGAAAAATACGTTTGGCTCAAACTATATTATTTGGACGTCATTAGATCATATTTTTATGTGAATAAATATTTTGTTTTAAACATATATTATAGCGTACAAAGTTTCAATAGGTTCCAAACGTATATTTCTTAATTATTTTAACAAAATTTAAAATAGTCAAGTGTGAACAACTGAAGTCATAATAATTTTAAACCTTAACTTTAAAGTAAAAAAAAAAACGTATGCTAAGAGCGCCATCTTACCACCTCTGTAGAGACTAAGTATGAAGTAAATTTTAAAATTATATATTTAAACGTTTATTATTTTCTATCTCATTGATTTTAGTTTATACTTTTTTACTATGAAATTATACTTTGGATATATAATCTTAATGCGAAATTTTTACCAAAATATTTCAATACGTACAAATATCAAATTGTAGACAATAAGTTGAAATATACTCGGAGGAAGTAATGAGAGTTTAGAACATATAAATTGAAAGGATAATTAATAAATAAACTTAAAGATTTCGGGATAGTATTCTAATAATACTGTTTCTTTTGACGTAAAATGCATTAAAATATAACCCATACTAACTTCGCGTATTATCGATGTTCGAACGAATTGTTATAAAAAAAATATCTACTTTTAAGATTTATATATCAGTTTGATTTTCATTAAGAAAAAAAAAATATTAAAATGTTGTATTTCCTAATACTGCATGTAGCAAAATTACAAATATTATAAAATTTCTGTACATATGATTTGTTCATGGTATGTAAATATATTTATTGTTCTGCATAATTTAATGTCAATGTATAGATATATAAACGGAATGTTTAGAAACATCATCAACCATCTGCAGTGGATTGAATACAAAAGAAACTTTATTTTTCATTTTATTCTGAAATTTAAAATGTTTACGCGCTAACGTTGGTTGAATATAAAATTATAGGTAATATAAAAATTGAATTATTTTCCAGTTTTAGAATTACAACCAGCCAAGACATTCATACGATATTTGCTGTAACTCGGAAATCGTCAACATACACGAAATGCGCGCATATTTACAATAATAATGCGTCGTTTCGATCGCGGTCGAGTATAAAAAAAATCAAAAACAAAAATTACGACACTAAAGCGGACACGTGGAACACCTGCAATAATATCAGTCTAGGTTTGATGTTCTTCTCCGTGATTTCATTAAAACATACGATATGAAAACAATAAAAGATTTCATCACCCCGCAATAGTGGTGCTCGGAGTTACACGATTCCGTGCGTTTTCGACTCATATCCGTGAGGGGAGTCCGATTCACACTGTTGTGGATAGTGATAATGTTTACAAGAGCTCGTTAAAATATTTTAAACGAAATAAAAACGAGTTTTATTTTCCAAAACATATATTTATATAATATATAATAATATACGCATTTATATTATGTGCGTAAACAAACAAGAGTTACATCGTAATACAAACAATGATAAATACACATGCATAATATATCGCACGATAAACGGTGACATATTTTACACACACAATAGGATATATTATGAAGGGAACATTAAAGGGCGAGTGCTAAATCGAACGAAACATTTTTTTTTAAAAAATACATGAATTCGTGGTGATATGAGGGTGCAGATGATGGGGTGGAAAATTAAAAACAAAGAAAAGGATGCTACGTAGGAGAAGGAGTGGTGCGGGCGAAATTATGGTGTGTGAACGATGATCATCGGGACGTACTCGTTCAGTTGTACTTCGGTTCGGGTGTGCTCGGCAGAGAGGCCAAGAGTCTGAGGGATTCTTGGATCTCGAATGGGATCGGTGGTGGAGTAGGCAGATGATCACCAACGGGTCTGTAACCGTTCTCGTCGGAGATGTATCCGGTTGAGATGACCCGACCGTCTGGGGCCACGTAAGAGTTTCCACCCTGGACGACGGAGACCGGGCCATCTGTGCCGGGCTTCAGGTAACCGACTTCTTCGACCTTGATTCTGTTGTCAGTCTCGAATCTGCAACGACATAGCACGTAGGCGTTAGTAACACGGAATCGTACGTATTTTAGATGCCATAATAGCATGGGTGGATCACCGATATTTATTTTAACTAGGGCGGAGAATTTTTCTATTCCAGTCGCGAAGCTGTTTAAACTTTTTACGATTTTAATTCGAGTTACGAGATTTGTGAAAAAACGCAAAATTAATCAAACTTAATGCGTACGCTGGCACAGGAAACGGTACCGAAAACCGAAGAAATATTGTCTGCTATAAAACCAAAATCATAAAAGTATGCGCAAAACGTGAAGCATATAGTTTCAGATCAGAAATCCTTGTAGCCGACTGTACTGTCGGTGTACACCGTATTTTAGCAAAATTCCATAACAATAATTAACAGGTGCTGTACCGAGCCCCGTTCATGGTCATCGCAAGAAGTTTGTTTTTTCCAAGAGATTCCGAATGCAAGTAATTGTAACCAGCGCCCAGGCGTGGTGACGTAACCACCTACACGTGGTTCGATCGAAACTGTCGGAACGTTGTCGGATTATGATAATGATTACTACGATTTTGGTGAAAGGTGGGTGGGTATCCGAAACGCACCGGACCCGAGTGTCAAATGTTGCGAAACGCGAGAACGACGTGGAATATGATCGTCATCGTTGCGATCATTACGATCATTATGATCGTAATTACCCGTCGTTTGGACGTTGCGCTCCGCGGGAATCGCTGCGTAACGTGCGAGCGAACGGCCGCAAGCACGCGAGCACTCGTTTTGCCTACGCCGAACGCCTTTTCACGTGCACGACCAACCGTTACGTTTATGTTCGGATTTCGACCACAATCCGCCGAGAATACTATTGCGTTCCACCGTTTTCGCCTACGAGTTGCGATAACATCAATGGGTGTACCGAATCGGTTGAATCCTCGACCCGCGGTGGCCGCGACGTAAAATATACAGTCGGGTGAACGAAACGAACGAACAACGTTGAAGTCGGTCGTGCTCACGGCGAAGCTTAAGCCGTTCCACGCGGAGTACGTACATGAATATTTCACGTGTTATTCGACGTGGTACAATTGTCGCGGTGCATTCGGGACGCTCGATGGTTTGTGAAGGCACGAAATAAAACGAAATAAAACGCTGACGACTACGTTCGACTCGCTGTTCGGCTACGTGAACGATTTCGAAGTTGGCGGGCGCGAGACGTAAGGTTTCAAATGAAACGATAAGGTCGCGGAGAACGAAAACATTAGTGAAACGACGCCTGTTCGGCCACGCGTTTTTGTGCACTCCGGTCGAAGACGTCCGGTAGGTGTGCATGGAAAAAACGTCAAAACGACAACGTTCGTGCGAACGGCTATACTATCGTGTGCAAACAAAATGTTGGTGCGTACTTGTTCTTGAAGGTTCCGTCGAAGTTGACTTCCTTTTCTTGGTTCAAGATGACGGCTCTGGATTCCGGGCTTTGCGGGTACGCGCTGACCGCAGCGGCCAACATCAACGACGATAAGACCAAAGTAACCTGTGCGTATGAAAACGTTTTCATGTAGCGATTCGTACGAGTAAAAATGGCATCGGCAGGCACACGAAAGTCCGGAGGAGACTCGTGAGCCGGATTTGTACTTACCTGCATTTTGACGGAGTGCTTGTCGCTGGTGCACAGTGTTCTGCTGAGTACTACGGTGCAACGTGTGTGTATGGATAACGAATGTACGAATTCTTTCTCTATATTTATATATATAAATACATATATATGGAACCATCCGTGGCAATATGGGGGTATCATACCAGTTTAATGCTATGGAGGTGGTATCGATGCGTTGGAAAGGTCGTTATGTCAGTGGGTTATTACGAAAGCGGTCCGACGACATTTATTTTAGCACTACGGAGGCTGCGTTAAACACGTTTCGAAAAACACACACTCGCGCATGTACAAACGTTTCGTATGCACACGCGCACACCCAATAACTATAATTATTTCATAAAATTACAACTAAAGTTTTAAGTTTAATACTTTATGCAATGCATGGCTATAATGCACGTACTTATCGAGTTAGTCATCGAATAACCAATATTTAGAAACAATTACTATTGTAATACATATGTGCAGAAGAAACAACCAATTTGATTAATAATGGACATAAACATAAAAAAAATCGTCTTATTAATATAACAAAATTCTAAAACAATAAACGAATATTTTATAACGCTCTCGTTTCGAGTAATATTTATAAGTAGGGCTGGGATTTTAATATCCTTAAAAATCACGAAAAATTACCTTAGAAAAATACAACAATGACTTCAAAAACTCAAAAAATGCATTTAAAATTTAAAAAAATTACATTACTTATACATAAATATTTTATTTTACTTCATATATTAACAAATAAAAAATTATTCTTTTTTGTTACAATAAGTCACGAAAGCGTGCCTCCTGTTATTCCCCAATTAGTTTTTGTAGATATACATACTTCTTTCTTATTCTTCAATGTGTTCTCTTCGTTGTACTCCATTAATATGTTTGTCTCTATATATGTTGTTGTATGGTAAAACGTTTTTTAACAGCAACTTTTACATTGTATACCTTACACAACAACACTAATCCGTCGGTAGAAAAAATCTATAATCTATAATTTTAAACTCAAAAACACCAAAAATGACTTAAAAACCCCTAAAATGCCCTAAAAATTGAGAAAAATAACCTTAAAATCAAAAATCGTCGTATGCAAAAAAAATGCAAAATAAAATGTCTTATCCTAATTTAAAAATACCTTAACGTATTTGTAACAAAACGAGCATCGTACAGAATGCTGCAGAACAAAATGCAAAGTGCATTGAAATCCTAGCTCTATTCATAATATTCAGACAACGATGTAAATAAGTTATATTCTGATGTCTAATACAATGCAATTTGTCCATTCTTCTTCTTTTCAGAGTCTTAGACCATCAAGACCATCCCGTCACACATTAGTCAATAATCTACTAAATACATTTGAAATGCTTATAATAATAATTTAATAACTATCAAAATATATATATATATATACAATATTATATTTAAATAAAATATGTTGATCGTTTATCACTGATAATAATATTTGATATTAATCAATGATATTATAAGATACTTAGTATGCATAATATTTATAAATATATTAAATTTTCTTCTCAAAATTGCACTTACGTTACATTCTTTTTATTGTAAATATAAATGATAAGTATAATATTGTACATACCAATGAAGTAAAAAAAGATTATATATTTTACATTTAAAACTGAAAAAAATGAGTTTTTAACAAAAAATAAAAAAATGTATATAGTTTTAAAATAATCGTTTAGTAATATTTTTCAGCTAGTATAGCATGTTTTAAACATCGATCTGTAGTCTATAAGTCAAAGATTATGTTTTGATGGTTTAAATCGTAATTTTTTAAATAAAAAGATCTTAATTTATATCACAGAGAAACTAAAGAGGCTTTGTTATTCGCCAACATCTGAGTAGACATAAGTTTAACAAATTGTGTTTTTTTTTTTTTTTTTTGTAAAACTTTATATAATTCGATATAACATTTTTTATAAATTTAAATATTTGTGAAACAAATTAAAAAAATGATTTTTTCAATTTATTATTTAAAAATTTGAAAATAGTCATTTTATAAGGAATAACATTTTCTTATAACTTGGAAGATTGAACTTCATGATTTCATAAGCTTCATGGTTCAATATTTTTTTTATCTATTTATTTTTTATTTAAATAAGAAATTTTATTGAATATAAATTGATGAAGAAAAAATGTAATGATAACAATATTTTCAACAGCTAAACACAAATTCTATTATATAATATATAATTATATTATGTAAATTTTTTTAAACATAGTTCATTACGTCACCTAAGAATATAAAGAAACTATTATCTTTTCGTGTAAAAATATATAATTTATTATAAAATATAACTAAAGTGACAATATGATATGACTGTATTACTTCTTGAACAACTTTATAAATTATAAGTTAACCAAATGAAATTAATATATTTATTTATTATTCAAAATTAATATTTTGATTCTTTTTGCATTTAATAAAATTGGTTATATTTATAATATAGTCACTGATCGAACATAATGAATCTATACATTTTACCAATCAAGACACATTATATTACTCAATGTTATATAACTGTATTCGACTTATAATCACTTACAACAATTTTGATTTAATGAAGTTATTTTTATTTTTAATAATAAATTTCAAAAATGACAATGAAAATTATTATATTGTACAAGATCTATTTATTATTTTTGAGTTTCAGTTGCCTATCCAAATTATTACTGGCTATAACTATATAACTTTAGCAAGTAAATGCATTGCATTAACATAAATTCATAAAACTAAAAGCGTTAACTATATTATATTATATTATCTATATGTTATGTTGGAGTACATGAACTAAGTTCTTTTGCACTTTAAAAACAATTTAATTTCTGTTAATTTAAATATATTTTTTATAGAAATATATATTTTTAACTATAAATACATAATGGTGTATTGTTCAACGAATAGAAACATAATATATAAAAATAATAAAAAATACACAAAATATAATCATTATTCACCGTCAAATGTTCGTACAAACAACCATTATCAATGTGGTTCCAAATTAAATATAAACAGTTAACAGTATAATAATAATTTTTTTTATTTATCAATAGAAACAGTAAATACATTTGAATTTCAAAAAAAATAATATAGCTTTTGATTTGTACCTATGCATAAAATTAAATATTTACTATACAACTAAATGCTTTTATTAAATTTGTTGTCTTTAATAATAAATTTAGTTGGATGACATTTTTATTTATAGTTTAGATTCAATGCGAAACCTAAAATAGAAATTACCTACTTAAGAAAAAAAAATAGTAATATAGTTTAAAATGATAGAAAAATTTATGTTATTTATGTTATTATTTATGTTACAAAATATCGCAACCAAAATCACCAAAATCCCGCCTGACAAAATTCCGCCAAAAATGAAAAAGTTTATTAAACTATTTTGTAGATTTTTTTTATTCAAATTCCTTATTAATGACTTTAAACGATACTCAAAATGCATTAAATGGGCGTGTTTAAAAAGTTGTTTTGGAGGTTTACATATCTTATTTTTCGATTCTATATTTATTTACTATCGCAGTTCCGTGTAATATAGTTTTTGTCATTTGTCTAATTCACTAATTCATAACTAACTATTTTACTTTTTACTAACAAACTATTTATTATTTCAAACATTAAATTGCAAATTATGAGCAATGTCAGGTAGGTAGTCGAGAGTTGGTATCTCTTGGAATTTAAAACAAATAGACTCTATTCTTGCATTTAAGAGTTGATAACGTTTCTTCCGAGACGCATTTTCCTTCCTCTGAATAAAACCTTCTATCTTCACCCTTGTCAGATTTTCGTCATGTTTAAATGCATTGATTACTTTCCAAATAGAAGGATGTGCAGCATGCAGAAGTGAGTACAAAGATTTTGCCATCCTTCAACACCATTATTTGTTTGAGGGATATCTGCAGATACATTTGTGAAACAGTTTCGCATAGAAAGAGGAACAGAGGACTGTGCCGCCGTCCACGCCTATCTAGTTGCCCTAGCCAAGTATCCTCAAAGTAGTTGAGGAAAGGAGTAAGTTCTAGCTCATTATTTTCGTAAAATTCACTCTCACACAAAGTTTTGAACGCATTTTCCACAGCCTCCTCTGGAATAAATACAAGAGCATCTATTTGACGAATTTCCAGTGCAAATTCTGTATCGTTCATAAATCGCTGTTGTAAAGATGAGGACTGAATGTGACGTCAAACTGACAGGGAAAAATGAAAGAAACAGCCTCTTACCAGACATTCGGAAAAAACTTCATTAACGGATTTTTTGAACTGCTCAAAGTCTATCATTAATGTACAAGATTTTAATGATAATTTTAGTACTTTCAAAAATGTCAGAAATGTTGTGTAAGTAGTCTGGGTTTTATCAGACAGCGGTGCATAGACAAGGGATATGCAAGTAGAAAATTTAGCTCCATGAATAGCATAAATTTGTGAGAATAGTGGAGGGGAAGAGGAGAATGTTCCATCAGCATACCAATGAACACACGTCGCGAGAAGTTCTAAATTTGTTTTGGTAAAAAAATCAGTAATCTTTGAGAATCTTCCTTACCACTATCATATAATATAAACGGTTTTTTGTCCACTGTGAGTAAGAATTAATCTGGTATTATTAAATTCTCCAGTGAAGATGGATTAGAAGGGGAAGTTTCTAAACATACTCTATATCGTCGAACATTACGGTTTAAAGAGCTGATGCTGGGTAATACACTAAAAACTCGAGGTGAAATATCTTGGCAAACTTTTGCGACAACAGCATGAGTTGATGAACCCACATCCATAGATAACTGTTTAAGTTTAGAAAAAATTTGATTACCACTTATTTTGGCTGGATCCGGTGGATGGGAATGCACATTTAAAACTTTCGTTATTTTTTCACCAATAGTGTGGACTCTCGAACGATACATACAATTTTTACTTCCCACTCATTTTCATATTGTTTTTTCATTTTTTGGTGGTTTTTCTCTGAAGTATAGGAAATCTTTATATACTAATAAATTATTGCTTTTGGCACTTTTTACAAATTCCATATTAAAATAAAACGATATAAAACGTCTGGCGAGAGACCTTTACGACGTGAGATACCCACTGGTTTGTACTGATAAATTAATGTGTTGTTCTGAATGTCAGATAATCATATCAGAAATTCGGAGATAGAGTACGATAGGTCGTACACGCGATAACAGTAAATCGTCTAACCAGTTCCACATTTATATATTAAATGTACAACTTTTATTATTAACAATAATAACTAATACGGATAACTTTTTTTTTTTTTTTTTGCGGGATTTCATCCGGGCGATATTTTCTCCGGACGAAATTTTGGCGACGGGTTTTTTTTTTTAAAAAAATTTAACTTGTATCTAAAATAATACTTAATAAATATGTTAATATTTTAATGTTTACCTCAATATCCTTTTTTTTATTATCTGTCTTATACATTGTATATTAACAAAATAATATTATAATTTAATAATGAATATAATTTGAGGGACGAGTTTGGCGGGGTGGGGGGCAGCGCCCCCACATTTATTACTTATTTTAAACATATTGAGGTTGAAGCCCTCCCTAAATTTAGGATGTAGTCACGCCTATGTCTATGATCTATTTAGACCACAGTTTTGGTTAAAAATGATTTTTATAGTTTCTTTTCCATTAAAATATAAATTATTAGAATTGTGTTGGTAAAAATATTAAAAATGTTAAAAATCAACTGTAAAAATACATATAGTATAACATAATTATAGCCATAAAGTTAAATAAAAGAATATTAAAAAGGTTAAAATTATTATATAATATAAATAAAAATTAAATAATATTTTCTAAAAATCACTTTTGTGTTGGTAAAAATGTATACGACATTAATTTTACAAAATCGAATCGATTTGTTATTTCTATAATTTTTTAGTTATATTTTCAGTTATGAATTTTTCTTTTAGTAAAATGGAGATCCAACTAGTTTAATAATTTTAAATTCAGGACCTAATTTGAATGCAGCCGAATCAAAAGCATACAAATATATTATTTAATTCCTATTAACAAAACGTTATTTGAATTACATTTTCTGGAAAAGAAACACACATTTTTAATTTTAAATTAAATCAAATTTTTAAACTTATATATTAAGGGAGCGTAATATCTCAATTTTTTCTTCATGCCTATACACAATATCACTAGAATATAAAAAAATGTAAAAACACTAAAAAAAAGTATGCTTACAATAATTTGTTAACTTATTATTTTTTTTTTTTTTTTAATGATTCTTAAATTATGTATAATTTAACTGTATATATATAAATTTAAATTATTCATAATTTAAGAATGTGAAAAACATGGTTCTTTAAAATTGATGCCACAAATACTTAGCGACTACTTAACTTAAACTATTTATATCTGTAAATATATAAATATATAAATAGTTTAAGTTAAGCAGTCGCTAAAAATTTATGGCATCGATCTTAAAGAACCATGTTTTTCACATGGACAGTTATATGTCACCTACTCCCGTATCGGAATACTAACAAAATTGTTCATATACGTGCCAGAAAATAAGAATGTTGTGTATTATAAAGTATTAGAATAATAAACATTATGTTTTTGGAATAATAATTATTTTTTTTTTAATTTTACCAATTCGAATTCAATATTCATAGTTACATGAAAATGCATGTCGGGTCAGCTAGTATATATATTAACGAAAAATATAAAATAATTTTATATTGCACAAAGTTAATTCATTATTTTTTTTTTTTTTTTTTTTATAACAGCTGTATCTTTTTAATTATCTATAAATTATTTATTACTCAATAGTTATATATTACTATAAAAACAATACAAACATAATATAATTACATACGTTATTTTTTATATAAGTAAATGCTAATATGTATGCTTGTATTGTTACTAAATTATTATTTTTTTGATTGTTCATTTAAACAAACGATACGAAGAGAACATTAAAAAAAAAACAATGTCACCTATATAACATTATTTACAGTGTAAACTTTACACGCAATTCGAATTGAATTACAAATAAAACTGATACAATGAATTATATTAAATTATGTTCTATGCGTTTACAATACATAACGCTTCATTTAGTCGGTCAATAACGGAGTAGAAATTAGTATCGTAATTTACATAATATTTGTGTTATGAGAGCAATACATACATCAGACGATTTGAACGCGCGACCGAAATACGAAATAATGATTATCATCCTATGTCTTGGGATTGTCATGGACGACACATCTTTTTTTCTACTTAATACAGGTGTGCTCACGGCCGTAGATGATTTGGTACTCGAGTTAATTTATACACGATTACATAAGCAAAGGTGCAATAGGATCAATATGGTATCGAATAAGAACGAATAATGATACGGATTATAAATGATTTACAGATACACGGGTATATGCGTATAAAAAGAAAGACGGACGCGTAGATTGTGTGTTATATATACAAGGCGTTTTTTATAAAAAAATATATTTATATTTCATTGCGACAATACAAACTGGATCAAAATATTATTATAAATTATTAAAATTTAAATTATTAGAACGGTAACTGCTTCTAATAGCTTGAAGCGCTAGGGGACTTTTTGTAAGCCGAAGCGTTTGGGCCCTGGTAACCTTGTTGCGATTTGTACGAAGGATTTGCAGCTGGAGCTTGTCCGTATGACGGTGCACCGGATGCTTGACCGTAGGCCCTGGCAGACTTTTCGTTGGTTTCACCTCCGTATCCGAAAGATCCCTGTGGTTTTTGATAGTTCGATGGTTTCGGTGCAGAAGTAGAGGATTTTCCGTATGAACTAGAAACAGAGGTCTGTCCGTAAGATCCTGGAGCAGAAGTCTGTCCGAAAGATCCAGGGGCAGAGGTCTGTCCATAAGATCCAGGAGCAGACGTCTGTCCGTAGGATCCAGAAGCAGACGTCTGTCCATAAGATCCCGGAGCAGAAGTCTGTGCATAGGATCCAGCGGTAGATGACTGACCATAGACACCTGATTCTTGTCCATTTGAAGTTGAAGGACCGTTTTGTCCATAAGCTGCCTGTTGCTGTTGGTATGCTTGTTGTGCGGCTTCTTCTGCAGCATTCTGTTCTAGTGACTGAAGGATTTCAGCTGGAATTGGTGGTGGTGTCGGGAGATGGCTACCTTTGGGAACGAATCCATTTTCATCGGCGGTGTAAGTCACAGTGATAAGCTTTCCATCTTCTCCCGGGTAACTGAATGATCCATAAACTGTTTGGATTCCTTCTGGACCACCTGGTTTAAGTTGACCGTATTCTGAAGCCGAAATACCGTTGCCAGTCTCGTAACTAAAAACACATAAATTTCATATTACAATTATAACCAATAGGCGTGTATCGAAAAAACATTATTATACCTGTATGAATAAGAACCATCACCAAGATTTGGTTGGTTGGACTGTGACAGAATAGGGGTAACTTCTACGGGTCCAGCAATATTGCCTGGGGCGAAAGCGCTGAACGCATTGTTTGCTGGGCTGTAATCATCGGCAGAGCTAGAGTCTTTAGAAGTTTCATATTCAGATCCAGGTTTTTGATACACTGTAGAAGAAATAGGTTTCGGGCGGGAACGTTGTCCATAGGACGACGGAGAGCCTTGCGGTTGGTATTGTGGTGTTGATGCAGTTTGTTGATAAACAGGGGCAGCAGACGACTTAGAACTGTAAGATGTAGATTGGTAATTGGCCTTTGTGTTTAGCGTAGCTGGAGTTGATTGGTAAGAAGGGATAGCTGCACCGGGTTGGTAAGAAGAAACACCAGACTGGTAACCAGCTTGTCCAACTTGAGAGTACAGTTGAGGAGACGAAGCTGGTTGGTATGATCCAGCACCAGACTGGTAACCAGAAAGTGGAACTTTGGAGTATTGTGAACTTGCTGGAGTAGACTGATAAGCAGCGGCACCAGATTGATAACCGGACTGCGCACCTGATCCTGCTCCAGATTGGTAACCAGAGAATGCATTAGTTTTGTATGCAGGAGTTGGAGTTGATTGTTGGTACGATCCAGAAGTAGATTGATATCCAGCAGCTCCACTTCCTTGATATCCAGCCGGTGCACCGGATGAATAAGCTGAAACATCTAAACCAGGTTTTTGGTAACCAAGGTTTCCTTGGTAAGGCGAAGAAAGAGACGATGGTGTGGTTGGAGATCCATAACCAGAAGAAGTTTCTGAATCATAACTTTGAGGATGAGCCGCCACAAAAGCGACAAATGCAATAAATAAAAACTGAAAAAGAAATATTTCGATAAAAATTAAAACATATATCTTACAAATTATTATAAAAAAGAAAACTTAATATTTGTTGAAAATTTAATTTAAAAAAAAAATAGGACATTTATTTTACTATAAGGTATTATTTGAATATGTGTTAAATGAAAAAATATTTTATAAATATGCCTTTTTATTACTGTTGTTTGAGTGGGCTTAGCATTTTAGATGACATAAATTTTCTAAAGTATTTTTATACGGTTTTGAAATGATTTGTGTGTGCAAAGATTTTTAAATTTATAATTTGTTAGCTATAATAAGTTACTAAAGTCTTATAAATGTACTAAACATAGCTACAGTGATTTAAAAAAAAAAATGTTTAAGCTTGTCGAAGATTATCCGCAGGTGCTAAATATATGTTGAAATTATATTCTACGTCACTAAGCTGACCACAAACTCCGATGACTTAAAGAATGAGTCCTATACTTGTTTTTTGGCAATTATATAAAGACCAGTTTCAGTAATACCACTTTAAAAATTTACTTTGAATGAAAAGTTTGGTTCAAAAAAAAGTTTATCCCAACATGAATATTATTATTTTGAGTAATATTTTTAGTATTTATTGAACTTTATAATTTAAAGACATTATTACAAACACCACAACAATTGTATTAAATTAAGTTTTAATTTAAAAAAATACATACTTATTATATATTAGTAAAAATGTTTAATATTTATAAATCACATTTAATATAATATATTTATATTATAACAAAAAAAAAAAATTGTTAAAAATAGTTTTTTATTCCAAAATAAAGGTGAATAAAATGTATCGTAATGCACAATCATTTTAAATATTTTATATTCTATCGACCTTTGTATTCATTTTACAATTGACTAATAGTAAGAAAAAAGTTTTAATTCTTTAATTTCGTACCGATTGTTATTTCAACAATATTCAAATAATTCAATTTTAAAAACAAACCATTATACATTTTTGATAAAAATTAATTCCCTTCTAAAATAATATATGTAGGAGTACCACCTAATATATATGCATCGATCTAATATCCGTATAATGACTACTTGCGTCTCACATGGTCATGGACAACATCGATATGGCATCTACGTATAAATACGTCTCAATGTCAAATACCATACAGATATCGTTAATGTATTTTAAATATGAATATTTTCTTAATAGTGTAGTAAATATATATTATATATATATATTCATAAATAGCAATGCATTTGTTTATGCATTTCATAGCATGTATGAAATAAGCAAATACATTTTCTTATAAATTGTTAGTTTAAAAAACCCGTTGTAGATTAAATAGTCGTGAATAAGTGAAAACTTTAAAAGCAAATCACACCGATCACTTTGCAATTTTTCTACAATTTCCATTAGACAATCACATTATTTACCATTTATGAAATCTAACATAGTAGTTCGACATTTAAAAGTAGACAAAAACAAATATACGTTAAAAAGCTATAATAAAACGTTAAATTTAAAATAATGATTTTAAATTATATCATCAATAGTATTGTGAAATTGTATAATAATATGTTGCACTTAAAATTAAATAAATATTAGTTTGTAAGATTGGAATAAAAAAGTTCTAAACTTATCACTTTATGTGTAAAACTTTGTCGAACAAAAAATCTATCAGTTTAACGTTAATTCTGATAAAATGATTAAAGCTAAAATACTGATGTCTAAGTTCAACTAAAATGCAAAATTGCCTAAAAAATCTCGATACATAATAAAGTTTTATTATTGTACATCATAAAATTATTACGAAAGTCTTTAAAATTGACGATAAATATATTGCAATGACATCAATATATACAATATATAATTGTACATCAACGATATCTTATAATTATAATTTTAAATGTCTTAAAAATTTTGAAAATCTTCTAAAATAATACTCATTAAAAATCATTCGAAATTAAAATAACCTAAATCCCGAACTTGGTTTTTAGATCGAAAAAAAAATGAAAACACATCAAAATATCAGCATTAATTTGTGTGCAATAATCATTGTTCTTCCAAACGTTAAGACATCGTGTGTTTAATATGCCTAACTTATCATTACGATCGTTGCAAAAAAATTCGAACACCACCGCGCAGAAAATACTAAAACTCTCATTGCCACTGGAGATCGGAGAAGTGCTATGTAGTATACCGAAGCACTTGGATCTTATTCGCTGCTCGAAAACACAATAATAATAATATACATGTACATTATGCGCGTCGTACTGAACCGGCGTTAAATTGACACGATGCATTTTAAAGCGCCCATCACACGTCAATAAGTTATAACTTAATAATTAATAATACGAGAATTTCGATTTTCGCGAGCGTGTTGATCTTTAGAACGTCGAGTGGTTCGTTGACCGCGAAACGACGAAAACATTTACGGTGCGAAGTGCTCGAAACGATCGAAAAGAACGCGCAGTGCGGTGAAGCGCTGGATCTGAAGTATGCGCGTACCGAGCCATTTTTTATCCTAAGGCAGAACTGAAGCAATGCGCCCCCTAGCTTGTAGGATTATCACACTTACAGCTTTCAATATGTATAATACGGTTCGGAAAAATTATAATTAGGTTTCTAGCGAAACAAGAAATAACATTTCTTAAAATAAGTTAATTATTTAATATTTTTGCAACCCCCAGCTTCAGGCGCCCAAAGCAAGTGCCTCGCTTGCCTCACCCTAGTTACGGCTCCGGTGAGCGGAACGGGAACAACGGTGCAGGAATTTGAGCGAGAAAACACGCGATGTTCGTCGTCGTCGTATGGACACAAAGGTTTAACTCACCGTCTTCATGCTGCCGGCGCAAAAGTCGTCGTTGCGGTTGTACCGATGATGGAGCGGTTGAAATGTTTGGTGAAAAAATGTTCGACGATCGGCGACGATGACTGAACTGACGATGGATCGGTACCCGAAGTCTGTATATATATGTACGTGCGACGATGCGCCGGTCCGCGGGTAAGGCGCGCGCGCGCGCGAAGGAGGTGTTGGGCGGCGACCGTTCCCCCACCCCGTTTACCCCCTTACGGGCGACGCCCTTTGGCCAATCCGATTTCCCTGGCAGAGGAGAGTAGCGTAATTTTTTTTATTTTTTTATTTACGATTATTGTTATGATTATTTTTTTATGACGTGCCGCCGACGTCGGACGAAGACTAATTAGGACGGCCGCTGCGTGTGCGTATGACAGGTGTAGGACGGTATACCGTTGCCGTGGCTGTCGCTTCACATATGCGTAGACATACACACATACACATATATCAATCCACAATATTCCGCCTTGATCGTCTACGATTGATCAATATAATAATGTAGTACACGCGTATGTGTACCCATGAAGATAAAGCGACGTGAAGTTGACGTAGCTCTCGTGTTACATTATCATTGTGACCCAGTTCCGCCGCGGTCGACGCACGTCTATGATGGCGGTAGTGTGATGCTACCGATTATGACAACCGCGGCCGTATTTATTTATTTATTTATTTTTTACACCCGCGTACCCTCGAGCGCGTGCTCAAGGATATCCTCGGCCGTGGATGATCCGGTGCGCGGGAGTCAGGGCTCTCAGCGCCTCCGGCCCGCAATCTAGAGAATTCGGATCGCTGAGAAAGTTTTAAGAAAACAAAGCGGTTAACACGTACGAAAAACGTTCCCGGCGCCGCTGCCCAGGGGAATACAACATTGTTTTTACTCGGCAATCAAAAAACGTTTTCGGAGATCAAGTTCTTGAAAACGAATACCCTTGGTGGCGCGTGCAGCAACTTCGTTGTTAGAACACTTATGCTAGGTGGATGGTTCTGAATTAGCAACTGCTGATGTGTATACGATGATAAATACGCGATTCGTGTCAGATTTAAACGTGTTGTAATGTAAAACGTGCAATCAGCGTTTTTCGAAAATAAAATTTCTACATCGAGTAGTATGTTGCGTACGATACATAGCAGTAATTATCAATAAAGTTATCTGGCAAGGCGACGACGATTTCGTACTCAAATAACGAATAACTCTATGATACCTTAACTAAATATTTTATCAGTTAATTGAAGTAAATGCGATTAAACGCATGTTCAGTTTTATCGACACGTTATAAGCCACTACGTGTATCACAAAGGGTTTTAGTAGGGTTTGGATTTTGGTTATGCAACTCCTCGTCCCAAAGCGAGGTGTGTAATATTTATTTAAATACTTAACCGATTCAAATTTTTCCCGGGCTGCTATTTGACGACCATAAAGAAATGACGCCACCGGTGATGCACACGGTCAATTATCTATTTGCTTTACCAAGCGCGATAACCGTGTTATTGTCATAACGTACGTCTTAACCCGAAGTATTATGCTCGCCATTTCTGACGATCAAACCGCTTTTCAACGCTTTATTTTCATCGACGTGTTTCGTTTTTAATTTGTTTTTTTATACCGCAGTTTCTTAGAATTATATCGAGATTCCGATAGAAAATGAGCAATGATGCATACTTTTTACTAAATTTGTTCGAAAAACTGAATTCTCTACGATTAAAATACGTTCGATCTTGTGGAAATGCATTTAAAGAACCGGTTACTACTATGTTATATCATTATATAATTAAATCTTATGGATATTACAATACATGATTACGGTCAGTATCACAGGAAATTAACGTATAATACATCATTCCACGCCGTTGCTTCGGATCAATAGACGCGGTCAATAGGCCTCCACAATTAATCCTACGATCACACGAATCCGTTTGGATTTCAAAGCACCACTAGACACGTTCAAACGATTATTTTTCAACATGTTAAAAGTGCACGGATTTAATATAATATGTATATTTTTATTCGTGTGAAAATAATATTATAACAAGCGTGGAAAGCGACGGTCGTCCGAGGAAAAAAATTATCCTCCTAGTTATGCGTGCTAAACGGTGATACACGGTGTATTGTCGCTGGAATATGATCATCGGTATAAATTAAGGTTCCTGTGCACAGGATACACTCGTATAAAGGTCACTGATTTCCAATTGAACACCTAATAGTCAATCAATAAGTTGAAATAACGGTAGGTGAGATTGTATGTCTATAATTGTGCTACAGCATTACGTACCAACGATCGTTTCATTTTCAATCAAACGCGCGAATAAGAAACGTCATAGACTAACATTATTATTTTCAATCGGTTAAATGGAAAAATGGTTTCTAAAAACACGAACGCCGTTTCGACGAATTCTGACGTATTATGATACGTGCACCCGTACCGATCTCTCATCGAGCCGACGTAACGCATCGATTACACACCTCACTATTTTGCGTACGCAACACGCGCAGAATATCAACTTATGAGCTACGTAATAAGTGCAGTTTTTTTTTTCAACAAATATTCGTCCACCGATAGTGAAAATGTTCCAATTATTCATCTACGTACGCACTTTCGACGAGCTGAGACCGTTGTACAAGAAAAATATTGAACTGTCCACGACGTAATTTTTCCCTTATCATTTTTAAACATTTTTAATTAACTATATCGTCACTCTTCACTGGAACAAAATCATTTTAACGAAAATTGGATGCTGAATCGAATAATGAGGATAGGGAATCGGTCTTCAAGGAAATGACGCATCGATCCAAGGCGAGACAGATATACTACCTTAAATTAAAGTATTTATTCTTCATCACTCTCGCCATTTAAATTTAAAATTATTATTTTAATGATTAAATTGGTAATGTGATTTTTCAACACGTTTCGAGATTAAGCAAGATTTATTATTATCAAAAGTCACTGATCGTTAACACGAAATTAACTGTCTACAAATATAATAATATGTGCTCTTTGACTTGACGATATGGTACCTAGACAAATACTTCAATTGATATTTCCATATCTCGTCTCGAATAATTAATCAAACATTTCAGGATTACTCATTGTTCCGGCACCTTATTCGTGATCAATACAAAACAGCAATTATACGTACATTGATTATTATCGCGTTGACGTTTAAGGAAAAATTTTAACGTGCATAGTAAAATATAATATAGAATAATAATCGTACATTAAGGGCTCAAGTTAATCGTCCGTCGTTATTTCATGATGTCATCGTATAGGTACGTAAACCAAAAGTGATCGAAATATTTGAAATCGAATTGAATTCATGTGTAGAAATACTATACACAAGTTCAAAACTACTCACGAGATAAAAATAATATTCCACTATTATGATTATAATTAACACATTAGATGTGGATTACAGTTGAATCGGCTCATTTCGAGCGTTGCCTTCAAAACATCGATTCGTCGATTATTATATGTTATTATCATTATACTATTACATTATTATCAATGAAGAGAGTATTATCAATTTACTCTTACAAATATTGTTAATAACGCCCACTACGTGTGCGGCGAGATGATTGGTCTTTAAGGATGAAAATTACGGTGCAAACATACGTATTTCTCGTGTCAACTCAATAACGACGTTTTGCCGTGACATGAAAAGAGTAAACATTAATAAATGCTCGACGATTAATTTTAATCGATCTCCAATCATTACCATTCTCCGTGAGCTGAAGGTTTTTTTTTTAAATTTATTTCCTTCACGAGCACATTTCTAAAACTCGTATAATAATATAGGTATAAGTATAACTCAAAACTCATTTCAACCAATAAATCAATTTTTATTTATACGTTTTATATTTTCCAATTGAACGCAATATTCAAACGCATTGATCGTGTTTATTTTTTTACCCCGTCCGATTCGTAAATTGAAAAAATAGTACGAATTGTTTTGGGCTGTTATTTTCAATGTTTTGTGATGCTAAATATGGAGAAAAAGGCAAATGCGTGTACGTTACGACTATGTATGTACTTTTTGAATAACGGTGATTAAAAAATAATACGTTTATAATACATTTTTAGTTTAACAATCCACGCTCTATAATTTGTTTCACAAAAACGTCGATAGTGCAATAGGTTATATGCAATATGTTACACCCTGATTTATGATACGCTATGATTGTACGCTATTATGCTATGTTCATCGAAAACCGTTTAGGGCCTTGATTAATAATATTACCAAATTGAGCATTATTACAATTTTTATCTAATTCGTACGATCGCGATATTATATTCGTTGGATGTTCCAAACGTCAAAGCTATACATGCTATATAATAGCCAGCGCCCACCTATATAAAATAAATTGTATAATAATATAGTGTCGTGGGATCATGATAAATCATTATAATATCTTATTCTCGTCTAGATCGGACATCTTTTTCGGTCGTTGAACGCATACACTCGTGGCGAACAGTAGTTCATCGCGTTACGTGTGTACATTTTAATATTTGTAACGAAATTATTGCGATCCTTTCCCATCGTCAACATAATATACACTATCTAAAGGTGCGTATACAATAAATATAATGCGCCGAGTGGCGGATTACTCACTCGGTATCGAGACATTTACGCGTGTAATTGTTTAAGGTGACGTAACCGTTGACGGTTATTGAATCAGCTATTGTTTAAAATCGCATTTCGCAATTGATTTACAATTCGAAAAACGCACGGGAAAACCCGATAACTACGTATGTATATATATATCTTTCAGCTTCATTCGAAATATCATCGAATACACGACTTTCGACCCCGACCTGATGACATGATAATAAATTATTAGGGGCACAGAGGAGAAAGATGCTTGGGGATATAAAGTACCCCAAAATTTTTAAATAGTCTTGGAGCATCTGAGTTATTTATTATGACCAGGGCTCGGGACTTTATGTGTTTAAAATCTTAAAAATAAGCGCATACTTATGCACCAAAAAAATATAAAAATATGCGCTTTATATACATTAATTTTTAATTAAAAAAGACGTAGTAATACAAATTTCATTAAAAAAATATATATCTTGCACATACCTACTACCAATGGCGCATTTAAGGGGGGGGG